AGTCATGTAGGATTGGGATATCCCTGAGTCACGAAATCCTCTTCCTGTCTCCGTTGAAACGTTTGACAGAGACAACATTTCTAGTCTGAATCTGAATTTGGAACCAGTCATGAAGCATCCTAATGTGTTTTTCCTCATACAATTCCAACATTACACAAAACAAAAAGTAGGCCTTTCAAACAATAGATCCAAATAGAATCAAATGTCCCCATAGGGACATACTGTGTGTGTGTGTCTGTGTGTGTGTGTACCTGTTTTTCTATTCTGGTGGGGACTTAAACCTGAATACACACAGACTTATGGGGACTCGTGTCACGGTGGGGACCTAAATTGAGGTCCCCACGGGTAAACAAGCTAATAAATCACACAGAATTAAGATTTTTGAAAATCTAAAAATGCAGAAAGTTTCCTGTGAGGGGTAGGTTTAGGGGTAGGGTTGGTGTAGGGCAATAGAATATACGGTCTGTACAGTAGAAAAACCATTACACCTATGGAGAGTCCCCACAAGGATAGCTGACCAGACGTGTGTGTGTGTGTGTGTGTGTGTGTGTGTGTGTGTGTGTAGAGTGTATTGTGTATAGTACAGTATGTGCTTTGCGTGTATGTATTATAATAATTACAGAAAATTATGCATAATACAAGCAACTAACCAACCAAACCCTAACCATAGAGTAAGTACTTGTTAATTAATATTACTGTGTTTGCATATTTTTGTAATTACACTGTGACAAGAACATCTTAAAATGTAACCATATACACACTATATTCCTACATTCACAAGATAGACGGAAGACAGATAGATAGATACTAAATCAACATATCATAATCATACTATATAACTATCCCAACGTTATTATTTATTTATTTTTGCTTGTTGTTTTATAGCTACCTTATTTAAAATCTGAGATTTGATTCTTAAATGATTCTTATTAATTCCAGACTAGTTGCATAATTCAATAAAAATCCTGCAGACATTTCTTTTGGAATTTTGATTAGGGATTAAATGGAATTAGAAGGGCAGTAAATATTCTCTCGTGGTCGTGTTTAGTCGCAAAAACATCCAAAAGTCATTCAAGGAGCGTGAGTGAATGACTAATGTGATACTCAGCAAGAGGAGCTTTACGCCATCCGGTCCACTGCATCCTTTGACTGGAAGACACACAGAACTCGAAGACGGTCATTAGCGACGGATGCTGGTCAAGAGCGGTTGAATTCTGCAGTTTTCCGCCTGAATAACGAAGTGGAATGAAACAGGAGCCGACTGCAGAGACAACGACAAACGGCTAACACTGAGCAAACTGATCCACCGACCAACATACACACTGAAAATAACTGTTATATCCTCGCTACGTCCGTTTCGTCGTCCGCTACACTTCTGGATGCTGTACTGCTGCGGTGGAAGAGAGAAGGGGGAGCAGGAGCACACGGGCGCGGAGGAGGCGTTGATGAACTGCGGGGAAGCGGACACCGTCACCGCTGGAAATCGGGAAGAAACTCCAGCTGCAGGGATGTTTGACACAACGGATATGCCCGAGCTCCTGCCGCCCTCGGGGCAACTTCAACCGAGTCCTCGTGACTCGGTGTGTCAGATGCAGCATTTGATGGTTGAGAGAGATTGCTTGAGCCCTGAATCCCCTCAACGGAGGTTAGGCCAGAGGGCCCCCAAACTCGGACAAATTGGACGGTCAAAGAGAGGCAAGTAATATTTTTCTAATTTTGTATGGTAAATAACTGATTTAAAACCTGCATGCTAACTGTTTTAACTGTGGACAAAACATGGATAAAACATAGCTACTCAGTAATGTTTTTCCGTTTAATTTATTTGGATAATTTATGATTTTTCATCCCATTTTGCTTTTTTTTTTGTTAAGTACATTATATATAATTACATATATATATGAAGAGTTCAGATGCAAAAGCCTCTAAGTGCCATCTGAAATTTTCTTCTAAAATTAGCATTTTTATCAGGCTCCTATCGTTTAGGTTCAGTAACTTTACTTTAATGGCAATGTATAGGTCCTTTTCTATGCCATTAAAGTGAAATAACAACAAAAATATAGGAGCCTGATAAAAATGCTAATTTTAGAAGAAAAGTTCAGACAGCACTTAGAGGCTTTTACAACTGCCTCATAACTTTAAACTTTGTATAAGATAAAAAAGTTCAAACTGGGATATGGAATATGGCATTTAAAAGGTAACTGGGTTTTTAACAGGGTTGACGGGTTTATTGCTCATTTAATTAGCCTTGTGCTCAAGGTTATAATATTACAAGGTGATTATTGGAAAGACAATTTTTAATGCTGATATTTCTACAAACATATAGATTTAATAATCAGCTCATACACAAGTATACAGGGTTGACAGTTTCATATTTCACCTGTGCTATAAAGGCCATGTAACCAATATGTTTATTAAGCAGATAATTCTTGATATTTCTACAAATACACAGTTTTCAAAAATAATTTGTACAAATTCATAGATGAAGATTCAAGAATATCCCCTTAAAGTTGAAAATTAAAAATTAAAAGGAGACACTTAGTTTGTAACATTTTATAAGATACTGGAGTTTTTGATGATGTGTTAAGAAAAGTGCCTGTAATAACTTACGGAATTGTAATAATTTATGGAATTATGTATTTAATAGAATATTTACATATTAAGTTAGGTTACACCTTGTTCATTAATGTATAACTAAACTGTGCACAGTGTAACTGAACACCAAAGCATGACCCAAATTTGCATATCTGTTAAAGTAAGATATGTGAACATTATTTTATAGTGGTCATAGAAGATGAAGATCTGGATGACGTCATGAACAACAACAATGGACCTCTACCTGTCCCTCTCAGCAATGAGCCGTCCTGAGCCTCTCTAGATTCTTAATATTCTGGACCAGCTATTAGTGAAATGCGCCCTTCTGCCACGGGACAGTCGGGACACTTTCAGCAGGAGAAAAGTCAGACACCTCTCCCAGTATCAGATTCACATGAGATCCGCATGCGTTTCAGCTGTAGTTTACTAGTCGCATGGCAGCAGCTGTCAGTCTACAACAGGCCACACAGGTGATTTGTTGTATAGTAGCTTCTTAGACCAGAGCTCTGTGTGTGACACTCGTGCCTCCCAGAGGGAGAAATGTGCATATAGACTGATTAACATATTTCTGACCAAAGGCAAAGACCAGCCACTGTAGATCACTCTGTCCAGGCTTGTGCTGTTATAAAGATGTCTTTCAATTTATTTGTTGAAACATTTGGCAAGAAGAATAGCACAATGTTCTTGTGTTTTACTTTGTCTCTCAAAACTCTGGAAATGTATGCTGCTTCCTAGAGCCATGGTTGTTACCTGTTGTCCACGACAATATATTCAATATTCAAATGTCAACCAAAAATATATTTCCTCTGGTATTTCTCACTTTTTTTTTATTAACAGAAACAAGTAGTATCTCTAGGTTAAAAAAAGAGATTCATTTAATAATTGCAGTGGTTTCAGAACGAAACTTTTTTGATCACTTTTATTTAGTAATTTAATTTATTTTGTATCTTAAGGCATCTTGTGCCCTGAAGTTGAGTATTACTTTTCTAAAGGCTTAAATGTTTTTATGCCTTATGAAACATTGCACGTTGCATTAGCAAAGCTATGCACTTGCTTGATCATTACTATGATACATTACTTTTGTTAAAATATGTAACAAGTTTATATTTAGTTGGCTGAATGATTCTGTGGCACGTATGAAGAATTTATATTGTTTTATGTGTTGCTTGCATTTTGTAGCTATTTAAGCACTGGAAACAATGGTCATGCAAAAAGAGTAAATGTGTAAATAAGTTTGACATAATAAATGTCAAATGTAAAGCTGAGCATGCAAACTGTTCCATCTTTGTCCACTAGATGGCTACAAAACCTAAGAAATTAATAGTTATCCTTTAAGGCTCTAGCAATTGTTATTAATGTATTGCATTTGCAACCATTTATTGGCAGTAGTCTACTTGCAAACAGCCTCAAAATCGACAAGTTCAATGTCTGGGAAAAAAAACCTGGATTAGAAGGTGGGTAGTTTAAGGAATTTCCATTAAACATGTTCTATCTAGGTTCACCTCGGCCAATCCAAATTGTTCTTGGCGCCACAATTATCAGAACATCTGCTATCTAACAGACTTTTTGATATATTGTGATATATAGGTCTCGACAGCGTTTATGTTCTGTAAATGTTTCATTCGCTAATGATTCTAATCAAATGCTCAAGCAGTAGGCTACTTTGCTACTATGGTAATTTCCTCAGGTGAACGCGATTTGTGTTGGCAAGTGTTTACCAGGTCTCTCTATAATTAGTATTCGATAACATTTGTAGTTACTAAATCCATTTTGGGACGTATATACGGTATATGCCTATTTACATGTATAAAGAATAAGACTACCAGCCTTTTATTTCGACTTTCTTTAGGCGGACTTAGTCTGAATCAGCAGCACCCACCCCACTACGTTTTACTGACGATACACGGTTAGCAGGAAATGATCTCTGAGTGGCAGTAGAGAGCAACAACTACCACAGGTTGAACATTGTGGAAAAGTACCTTACATTTCGTCTCAAATATTTAGGTGAAACGTAAATCCCCTTTGTAAGCAAATGTTTTATGTTATTTATTATAACCACTGATAGCATATTTGTGAAATACAAATGGCTGTAATTGTTAACCATGCATATGCTACTGCTCTAATTCACCAATTGCACTTGGTGACCTATTTTCCTTTCACTCATATTCTCCCATTACAGGATTATTTACATTAAGACACGTTTGCAGTGTTAGCCAGAATATGCAAATTATGCTGAAGCAGAAGTCAGAGGACCATGTGGGACTCACAAGACCAAGGTATTTGCAAATCACTAATATGTGTATCCTGCCACAGATTAGGCACATATAAAGAATGTGACAATGTCCAAGTCTTGTTTTAAAAAATTTATTTACATAAAATTGCAAACTGAACAGTCAAAAACGTTTCAAAATGTTCACTAAACATGGCCGTCTTATGAAATGAGGGACATACTGGGGAAGAACCCCCTCTTTCCAAACTTACATCAGTAACAGGATTTATAATAGGAAAAACAGACTTGGTGCTTATCAAAAGAAAGAAAACGGAAGTGACCTCCTTTTCTGAGGTGGGCTACTGTATCTGAGCATAAGTAAAATTTTCCCAAGGACACTGATCTTAGCTGTTTGTTCTATTCTAAGTCAAACACAATACAAGAAATTAAAATCTAAACAGATCTGAGATCAGCTGACTAGGGAAACTTCTACAGATGCTCTAGGATTCATTATGATCTTCTCCAGCTTGTGAACTGTCGCCATGGCTCAAACGTACTCCTTGCTGCTGCTGGGAGGTCTGGAGGACTTGGGGTACTTGGGAGATGATTTACCCTTTGGGCAGGAGGCAGCCAACATGCCTCCACCCATTATGTCCAGGAACGCACCTGCCCAGGCGATGAAAATGGCCGCACCGAACTCATACCTATAGAAATATAATATTATAATATGAGCTTTGCCTTTCCTTTCTTGGTAACAAGAGGATGAGAAACTATAAAATGAGGTAAAGCACATGGATAAATGCCTAAACATAATTTGCTTGTGGTATGCAACCACATTTGAACTTACTTCGTGTTGACTGGTGTGAAGGGGTTATAGAAGTCCTGGACGATTCGATTTGTAAACCAGCCACAGGCAACAATGCTACAGAGGGCTGAGGAATGGAAGAGAAGAGATAAATTAGTTACTTATGAAAAAATTTCCAAACATGTTTTTGACCATTTTTGTCCACAAAGAGGGAATTAACATTTTAGTCAACTGACAGATCCTGGAGCAATAACAAAGCACTGATTCCTAACCTGGCAAGAATTCCTTTAACCTTGGCATTTAAAACCTTATCTAGATTTTTTTGTGTGCTGATGAAAAAGTACTGCATTACAAAACTAGCATTAATATAATGCTATTAAAGTGAACGCACCTCCAACAATGAGGACTATACCGCCTGTCATGGTAATGCGGGACTTTTTGACCTTGTCATCACCACCACAGTTAGTGCACTTCATGCCCATGCTGGCCACACCCAGTCCTGCTACTGTGAGAAGGATTGCGACAATCATCAGGGCACGAGTTGCCTGGAGAGAACCTGAAAGAGGGGGAGGGTAGAGAATGAGTGAGATACAAAGAGAAAAGGTAAATAATTCGGTCTCAATGCAGTACATTTGTAACAGGGACATTCAGATTGCCCATGCAAATTAAAATTGATAATACAAATTATATAAAAACTTAAAATAAATGTTCTTTACTAGGCTAAAGGTAAGCTTATTCCCTTCATCGTTTATCATGGTTATGGTTAAACTCAGTTCACCACACAAAACAGGCAAGTGCTTTAATAGTGAATCAGAAAGATTATAGGCAGACTAAAGGGTTTTGAAATGGCCGAATTCTCTACAGGCTTTTGTTTTTTTCCTCTGACTCACAAAAAAGCCCTTCCCCCAGCTACACCTGCAGTCAGGTGCAACAGAGACCGGTTCCAACCGGAAGCCTCCTTTGAGAGCGCAGTGAGATTGTACACATATGTGGGCAGCGATTTGCCCTTTAGCTTTAGAGAAGGAACAGGTTTAACCAGTCATTGGGAACTTGGGTATCACTGCAACAATCTACTTTCTTTTGATTTGTGGGTATGGTTTGGCTTTCCAAAGTATTACAACACTTCACTTTTAGCATCAAGATGAATTAAGAAAGAAATTACTTTACTAGGTGTGCATCACCTGAAATGAAATATACATTAAAATCTTACAGGATATACAAAATGGCTGCCTAGGGCCATTACATCACCTTACTTTTTTTTTTTTTTTCCTCACTTTGCTTGTTCCCTATTATATCTCATGGTTTATCCATAACAGCAATACTACAGCAAGATATTAAATAGGCTATATCAAACTTGTGTGTGTATATAACAAACTCACCGATAAGACACTTTAAGATAAGTGTCTGTTTTACACGAGCTAAATCAAATGACTGATATGGTAATTGGCTAAATGACTTTAGTGTGTATAAAACACACAGCCATAAACACTGAAGTGAGCCTTTTCCATCAATCTCAGGTGTTAAGAGTAAAGATGGGATGAAATAAGGTGAATAAACATCAAATAAAGAGCAAACGCCTCTACTATTATTTTAAAAAGGCACTATTTGAGTTTAAAAAGTGTCATTGTCTGAGTTTAGGTGCTCTCACAAAGGAGTTGTGTATTAATAAGCTGTTGGCAAAATACACAAGTCATTCAAAGACAATGCCCGACTCCCACACCCGATACAGGAGCACCGAGTTTCCGCGATGGGAGGAAGGGTGGGAGTCACGCCAGTATAATCATTACTTTGAGTAAAAGCGTAACCCAACTGTATCACCAAACGTTAAACTAGCAGTCAGTCAGAAAGTTCACCCAAATGTTAAAACGGTTTACATTTTGTGCTTATCATGTATAATCTCCCATTTTGGCAACTCTGGCTTGAAAATGTCCACATACTTCGTTTACACATTCCTGAAGGACGGCTGCCCTTTTTACCACCTTTATGTTTCCTTTGACCCAAAACAAAAATAATTATCTAACAACCAGCTCTGCAGGAATGTGAGAGGCTACTATTCACACAAATTTTATGTAATCACAGCCAATGAGAGTTAGCGTGCATTTGTTATTTATTTATTTTTTATTTTTTTACACCAAACAATACAAAAACAATTTTTTGAGGGAACTCGTGGAACAACAGGTGCTTGTCCTTATTATTGTAACACTAGAGGAGTTGCCGCGAAATGGCTCTAGGGCGTGGTAACGTCCTAGCTTTCATGTAGCTACAAATAAGACAAGCATCAACACAATAGTCCGAAATATGATTTGCACCTTACATTTTACAATTAATAATTATAATAAACTTTTTTAATACGATTTTCATGTTATCAACAAATAGTTTAAAAGTTTTCATTTCATAATTAATAACTAACAAAGCTATGACAGGACACAAATAAATTATATCAGTAGCTTGGCACCATTCGAAGCCAAAATACTCGTATAATTATCATCAGAGTGTGAAATTAGTGTTCATATGCCACTACGTTCAATAGTGCGCGCATGCGCGCTTACAGGTGCAGCGTTTCACTAAGCAACAGCTTTCGTGAGTTTCAAACCACAACTAATATAAACAAACAGTCCAGTGCAAATTAAAGTACTTTTAAGAACACCTAGCGGTGTTGTTAATAATATAGGCCAAAGTTACCCTTTGTTAAAAAAAGACGGTTTGTAGGCTACTTACTATCGAGTTGTAGGATGGAGTCATACACCTTGCACTGCATTTGTCCGGTGCTCTGGAAAGCGCACGACATCCAAAGGCCTTGATACATCGCTATCGCTGTGATTATATTATCTCCAACGTAGGCAGACATCTTCCATTGGGGTAAGATTGTGCCAACAATGAGCCCAATCAACCCCAGAAGCGATAAAGTAAATCCCAGGAGCTGCAGTCCTTTATTTGCCATATTCTCACAATGAACTTAAAAAATAAACTATATCTGAAAGCAGCAGTTCAGCAAATAGTTATAGGCCTAATGCTTTTCCAAATGAGCTGTTTTCGTAATCCTCCGACGTTAAATTAACAAATGTTAGGGGAAAAATCCGTTAAGAGCCGTTGCCGATGCCCTGACTCAGACACCTGTTGAGTGAACTAGCCGCACCTTGAATATGAAATGAGCTGCTGATTTGAGCTTTTAGAGCGTCGTCCTCTTTATGGGCGGAGACTTCCTGAGTTTCGTCCTCAGTTCACTTCAATTTGTTGTTGTGAGGTCTGGGGGTTTCGTGACGACACCTTATCGTAGTATGAGTAACGTCACTGGTTATCACAAATCACAGACTTGTCATACTTTCATTTACAATCTGTATCGCATTTTACATGTCTCGGAACTTATTGTCAAGGCGTCTCGGTCTTTAGAAATGGATGGGCAATACTACCTAAACACTTCTCCAAATAATATATAGATTAGGCTACATTATGCAGTCATATGTGGGCCGTTTCAAGAAAAGCGTGCCTTTTGTATTCATCATGTAGGTGCAAAATAAAATAAAATAAACTGACAGCACTATACTTACTAGTGGTATTTTCTACACAACCATGTATTTATTTATTTTTGATCCATATGTGGGCGTGTGGGGTCATTAATAATAATATGTAGGCTATGTATGTGCATGTGTGTTGACAAATACCTTATACAGGCATTTGTAAATGAAATTAACCTCCAATCCTTCTTCTATAGTTTCAGGTAGTTATTCGAATGCTAGAAAACAGCTGCTTTTCCGAGTAAAACCGCCAAATAACGTAGTTACTTTATGATACGTAATATTCAGAGGGTGGGGGAGATGGGGGATTCCCCCGCACTATATGTCTCTGCATCGACTGAATGGTTTCATTCATTCATTCATTCATTCATTTTTATTTCCAGTGAATAGGAGTTAAAACTCCCAACCGGGTGACACTACTCCAATAATAGACCATGAAAAATACAACAACAAAAATTTTTTTTAATTAAATAAATAAATAAACAAAATAATAATATCTTTAAAATATTGCCAAGTAACGTTGCAAACAATAAAATCAGAAAACGACTTTAATTGTAGGCCTAAGTATACGGAAAAGATACAGTTATGATGTTTTTTTTTTCATATGATTTAGTCGAGGGATCAATTTATAATCATGTTTATATTAATTAGTCCGTGAACTCATTCTCTCAGACGGCCTGGGTAGGCCTATGCAGTTCGCAGCTTATATGGACGGAACGCCACTGATATATATATATATATATATATATATATATACGTACACTGAATGATGATGCAACATTATTTCACCTATATTTTGACATTTTATTTTCACAAAAGTTATTTGAAAAGCATACCACTTGTGTTTAATATGCTTTCCATGTATATAAGATGCGGATATCTACATAGTGCTATTTATGTTTATATATTCAGAATTATGACTACATGTTCACAATTTGCATTTATATATTCAGGCTTATAACTAGGCCTATATATTCTGATGTACTTCTATATAATCTGATTTACATTTATATATTCAGACTTACAACTATATATTCTGATTTACTTCTGAGAAAGACCTTTATTAAACTAAATAAATTTTTCATGACAAAGATTTGGCAGGTCTGAATAGACTCACTCACGTAGCCCACATGTAACCAAAGCTATTGATAGTTAATAGTGTTAAATTGTGTTTAAGAAGTAAGTGTTAAAAGTGCTGACACAACTTAACATTGCCAGCCTTTCTCAAATAAAATAACACGGTGAATTATATCCCTATACATACAGTATTAGTAATGTGTAAACGAAAGTGCACAGAAAAATCTATACACATCTCACAAGAAAAAAAAAGAATAATACTTTGCTGACATATTTTTGTATTTGGGTTTCAGTGTTTTGAGCAAATGCCGGTGGTATTGAGTCACAAATCAACTGAGTCATGCTTATGAAGGCTGACAGCGTTACAACCTCCATTTTAAGAGAAGTGCCTGACACGGTAAGAAAGTCATGACAATCTTAGGCCATACCTATTAGATTGAGGAATTAATTTTAGACTTCAATTGAGATGAGCGACTGATGACTATTAGCCACAGAAATAGGCCACATGTCAGAACTTTTACAGTAAATGCACCTCACGTTCATGGTGTGTTAACATGTCATTTGAGTGAATTTTTGGCGAGCACCCTGAGGGTTCCTGTATACAAGTTTAAAAACCTGCAGCCAACCCAACACACTTTTCAACTTATTCAGCTGTTTCATATTCAAAGTATTTATGTGTTGTTCTGACACGTCTTCGCTGTTTTAGAACCTGTTAGTAAATATACATGCATCTGTATTGTAAAAAGCCGAAGTGTTTTCTTCGTAACCACTCTATAGTTCCATTGTACTATATAGTTTCCAGGGAAGTGATTCCACTTCAGGACAATTTTTCATTGCTGTTTGTCTAGCCACATTATCACAAACATAGAGAAAGAGAAAAGGGTGTGTCTTTAGGAATCATACAAGTTAAAGTTATGATGTCACAGGTTTCAGTCAGAAAAAATTCCTGATATGATTCATACACAAATGAGCATGTACAAGTGTGTACAAACGGATCTACACTTCCTAGTTTATGAGTATGTGAAACTGTTTACTAAAGCATTATTTGCCACCGTTCTCACAGGGGGGAGGGTTGTAACATACCAGTACTGGTTAGACAGGTTCTACCATAAACCACAGAACACCAGCCCTGAGCATTTCCTGGAATCTAATCCAAACACATTCATACATACAAAGAAATCTCTACTTTATAGTACTCCACACGCATAGTCCAATATACACATCCACGTATCGCATCTCTTCTCATACTCTTATGCTCCAGTGAGACATTTCACACACTCCACCGGCCACTGTCTCAGAGAGCATGAGAAACTCGGAAGTTTATTTCTGATGATGTGAGCAAATGCAAACTTCCTATAAATATCTTCGCCATGGCAGTACAAGAATCATTTTTGTTTCTCACCGTGCTTTGTTCCTGAGCAGAGACTTGAATGTCACCTCTATGTTTGGGTGGTGGGGGAGAGGGTTCAGGGGGGAGGTCTTATTAGACCCACCCCTATAATTGTTTAGAGTCCCAAGCCAAGTAATTCAAACTGTCAACTGATAGTGACTCATAGCTGAGAGGAAATGGGACAGTATCAATTGAGAGCATAGTAATTCTGACAACTACTGTTTTGTTTACATGGTAACCCAGGTGAAAAAGACGTAGTATTAAACGTATTAAAAATATACTTGAAATTCAAGTAGGACATTTTAAATGTATTTTAAGAATTACACTTAAATTGCACTAAATATACTTAAAGTGGTTCCATTTTAACACAATTTCAATATATTAAATATATTACAAATAGATTAAAATCCAACTTAAACATATCTTGAAATACACTTAATATACTTTAAGTTGTTTCAAAAGAATACATTTAATATGCACTTAGTATAGTATAATTTAAATATAGTAAGTATGTCTGAAAAAGCACAATTTAAATATATTTCTTTTTCACCTGGGAATATTATCATGTATTGCTATATATAGTTGAATTAGCTCTGGGGTTTTTGCATACATATATATCTTGTAGCATGTAGCATTATTATCACTTTTATCTTAACCACAGTTCCTATGGAGATGGGTTTCGTGGAAACTCACTCTCTCTAGCTCTGTCTGTCATACAGTTTCTACTTACTACCGCTCCCTATTGGAAAAAATCCCGCTAGTGTACAGTTCAGCCACTAGGGGGAGTCGTGGCCTTTCAGTGTAGCTCAGTCCAGAGAGCTCTGACATTTGTTTTGTTCCTTCCTTTATCGGTGTAATGGATGCTGAACATCACCAAAATGTCTCAGCAGACTCTCTCTGTTTCTCTCTTTGTTCTTCCTTCTTGGGGTCTGATAACAATAATGTCCATTTACATCCTAATGAGAACAAAAGGTGTGATGGGGAGAATGAGGGAATAATGGAGAGAAGAGAATGTGTGGGAATGAGATAAAAGTGAAATCAACGGTGATGTTACCAGGGCCTCACAGGGAAGGATAATGGAGGACATTAGGATAAATACTGAGTGTGTGTTTTTGTAAGAGGCTACATACAGTCCATAAGTCTGAGACTATTATAGTGAAAATGCTACTATTTGCATAATTTAATAGATTTTCTTTTAATTACAAATTGTATTATGACCATAACAGTTTACATTTTATTTGGTTTGTCTCTCTTTTGCTTTATTTGACAGCAGCACTAATTTTAGAATTATCCTACACTGTAAAAAATGTTTTTCTGAAGTTCTAATTTTTTTGAAGATTATTGGAGTGTGTTTTACATGAAAATACTATTTAAGTATTTCTACTGAAAGAAATAATGTTTAATTCAGCATGATACTTGCCATTTCTTTGTAATTATTTGTGAGCTTTACTAGCAATTTATGAGTGAGAATTGTTTTTACACTGTGAAAAAAAAATAAAAATACTGGTAATTTTCTGCCAGAACATTATTCATTATTTTTTACAGACATTTCCATTAACCCTACAACATAAGCCAGTGCAGTGCAAAATTCAAAATACAAAACACAGAACACCTGTAAAATACCAATACGGAAAATTCCTTCATACTTTGTGCCATATTTTTATGATTTTTTGATGTATTATTTACACCAATTCAGTGTATATCCCTTTCTGTTTATTAAATTACCTAATCATAACCCAGTAGTTTTTTATTAAATTAAATCTCCATTTTACCATAAATTACTTAATATGCTTTTTTTTTTTCTCAGAAAGATGATTGTTACTCAGGATAACAATTTTACACCAATCAGAAAATCTTAGCATATTAAGTTTATTTTGTGTATTTATGCTTTTTAACTGAAGTAATTTCTTTTTTTTATGCAGTTGAAGTTGCAATTTCTGTGATCATGTCTCATAAGATAACAAAATTAAGTATAAACCTAATGTTAAGTGTTAAAAGAAATATATAAAAGTAACACACCACACTCTTTATAAAATAAAGTTTCAAAAAGGCAATAGAATGGATACCCCAAAAAATCATTCAGTGAACAATTCTTTAAAAGAACAATCTTTTTTGTGTGAAGAACCTTTTTCCACTTGTAAAGAACCGTTTGCGCTATAGAAAGGTTC